ATGGCCCATCCAGTCCAACACTCTGTGTCACACAGTGGCCAAAAATACCAGGTGCCATCAGGAGGTCCATCACTGGGGCTAGGACACTAGAAGCCCTCCCACTGTGCCCCCCCCCCAAGCACCAAGAAGACAGAGCATCACTTGCCCCTGACATAAGAACATAAGAGAAGCCAACGTTGGATCAGGCCAATGGCCCATCCAGTCCAACACTCTGTGTCGCACAGTGGCCAAAAATACCAGGTGCCATCAGGAGGTCCACCAGTGGGGCCAAAACTCCAGAAGCACCCCAGGCGCCAAGAATACAGAGCATCAATTGCCCCAGACATATGGAACAGAAGAGAAGCCATACTGGATCAGGCCAGTGGCCCATCCACTCCGTCTCACACAGTGGCCCAAACCCAGGGGCCATCAGAAGATCCACCAGCAGGGCCAGAACTCCAGAAGCCCTCCCACTGTTGCCTCCCAAGTGCCAAGAATACAGAGCATCACTTGCCCCAGACATAGGAACATAAGAGAAGCCAATGTTGGATCAGGGCAGTGGCCCATCCAGTCCAACACTCTGTCTCACACAGTGGCCCAAACCCAGGACCAGCAGGGCGAGAACTCCAGGAGGCCCCCCCCACATTTGCCCCCCCCCAAGCACCAGGAAGACAAAGCATCACTGCCCCAGACATAGAGTCCCTATCTATACCTTGTGGGTAAGAGCCACTGATGGACCTCTGCTCCATGTGTTTATCCAGTCCCCTCTTGAAACTGTCCATGCTTGTAGCTGCCACCACCTCCTGCAGCAGTGAATTCCATGCAGGCCCATAGCTACTGTGGGGCATCTCGGGGCCTGGCCCCCTGACTTACCACCAAGGGCCCCCAACTTCCCATCCACCCCAGGCACTCCCTTGGGGGGTGTGGGGTGCTTCCTGACTTACTTAAAGCCCCCCCCCCCGGAAATTAAAAATCCTGTCTACAGGCCTGATTCCACATCTTAATGACTCTTTGGGTGAAGGAGTAAACGTCAGCTGAAGGGGCGCTGGGTTGAGATGGACCCCCAGAACTGAGACCCCCAAAGCTGCTGCTCCAAGCAGACAACACAGACTGACTCAGTCAGAGGTGGCTCCATGGGGGGGAGGTGTCAAAGGACATTCCACTTCAGAACGGCAGTGGGAACAGGAGAGGATTTCCTCACTTCTCCCAGTCCCACTAACTCAAAGAGAAACAAACTTTAAAAGAAAACAAACACTGTGATGGGATTTAAGCTAAACTTGAGCCTGCGGTGGATGTGGCTGCGAAGAAAGCGAATGCAATCTTAGTGTGCATGAACAGAAGCCTTGTGTCCAGATCACGGGAGGTGGTCGTTCCGCTCTATTCTGCTATGGACTCAGGCCTCTCCTGGAGTCCTGTGTCCAGTTTTGGGCACCACATTTGAGGAAGGATGTTGACAAGCTCGAGCGTGTCCAGAAGAGGGCCACCAGGATGGTGAGAGGGTTGGAGTCCAAGTCTTACGAGGAAAGGCTGAAAGAGTTGGGTCTGTTTAGCCTGCCTGGGAAAGAGAAGGCTTAGAGGGGACATGATTCTCCTTCACTGAACGTTTTCAAGCGGAGGCTGGATGACCCTCTTTTGGGTCTGTTGTAGGGCTATCTTTCGGCTATACTCCTGCAGAGTGCAGTGGGTTGGACTAGATGACCTGCAAGGTCCCTTTCAATGCTAACATTCTATGATTCTATAATGCGAAAGGCCTGGGTTCGAATTCTGATCAAATACTTAAGCAGCCAGGAAGTTCAGGTAAGGCTGTGAGGAAATCATTCCTAATCTCCCCCCACAGGGCTGAAGGCAGTCTGCCAGCCACACTATATTTTGTTTTGCTTTACTTCACTTGTACCCCACCCTTTCCCCCCCCATGGGGACCCAAAGCAGCTTACATCATTCTCCTCTTCCATTTTTTCCTTGTAACAACAACCCTGTGAGGTAGGTCAGGCTGAGAGTGTGTCACTCACTGGCCCAAGGTCACCCAGGAAGCTTCCACAGCAGAACAGAGACTTGAACCAATGTTCCCTCTAAGCTGTGGAGTCTTGTGAGCAAAAATTCTACTTTGTGAGCTACTGGCATTAAAGTTCTGAGCTACTGCATAAATTAGTTTGCTCTGGAGCCCCATCCTTCCTGAGCTAAGGCAAAAATGTGTGAGCCGGAGGCTAAAAAACTGTGAGCTAGCTCATACTCACTCAGCTTAGAGGGAGCACTGATGTGAACCTGGGTCTCCTGGATCCTATGACATTCTGACCACCACCAGTGTTCCCTCTAAGCTGAGTTAGTAGTTTAATAGCCTCAGGCTCACACATTGTTTGTCTTAGCTCAGGAAGGATGGCTCCAGAGCAAGCTAATTCATGCAGGAGCCAAATCGCTCGCTCACAACTTTAATGTCGATAGCTCACAAAGTAGAATTTTTGCTCACAAGACTCCACAGCTCAGAGGGAACATTGACCACCACCCCTCTCGGGCTTCCCTGTGCCTTCAGCAAAAGGGTGGATGTGCGTCCATCAGCTCTGCAGGGCCTATGGCTGAACACGAACCCCGACTAATCCCAGCAGATCACACGGCTGTTCAAGGGATGGCTGCAGGAGTCGGTTTAAAAAGGCCGGCAACCCCAGCGGATGTGAAGATAAAAATAAATCAGGGAAACAGGACAGCCAGTCTTGACCCTGGGAGTTGGAATCAAAGCCCCCGACCTGTGCTGCTGCCTGGGCAAAAGGGAAGGCTTTGAGCCTCCCGCCTGTCTGTTCCTGCACACGGTAGCGCTATCTGCTTCCAGCGAGGAGGGGACCTGCCTTGGATTTTGGACATGAGGGGCTGCCTGCGAGCCCCCAGTGGAGAACATGCTTTCTGCTCCTGCAAGCTGCTGACAGGCCCCCAACACGTGTGGGAGAGAAACAGTCGACGTTATTTCCTTTTCTGATCTTTAGCAATGACATCGAGAGGGAGGGAGGGAGAAGGTGCGTTCCCAGGGAGGGGGGACGCTCTTAATTTAGAACAGAAATGAATAATACAAAGGCTGGCGTGCCGACCATGGAACTGCTTCCAGAACACCTCCCCTGCACACAAAAACCCCATCCCCCCCCCTCCTTTTCCGTGTGCAGCCAAAGCTACTCCAAGAACCCAGAACTGGAGCTGCCCTGGATTAGGAGGACCGGCACCTTTGGGTGCCACATGCCACAGGTTTCAAGCCCGTTGCAGAGTGCTGCAGCATGTAGGCACCCGTGCCCGAGGAGATCTCATGGCATGGCCCAGCAAGCTGCCGCTTCAGCCTCTGGAAATACACGCCACCCTTGTGGCTGAGATCAGGCAGAGGAGTTGGCTCCTCCCCAGCGTGGCTAATACTTCCTCCACCACTGACACAGCCTCAGAGGACCCCTGCACCCATCTCCAGGGCCTTCTCCCTTCCGCTAGCCTAGTCCCGCCAAGGGCTCTGTGCCAAAGGTTGCCCTCCGCATCCGTGGCCAAAAGAAAGCTTCCTTTCCAGGTAAGAACTCCGGAAGGGGGTGGGGTGCGCATCCAGAAACAACATCCTCTCACTCCACCCGTTGGGCTTGCCAGCTCAGGGCTGGGGGAATTCCGGGAGATTTTGGGGGGGTGGAACCTGGAGAGGGTAGCGTTCGGTGGGGAAGGAGGAGGAGGAGGCTAGATTTATACCCCACCCTTCACTCAGAGTCTCAGAGTGGCTTACAAACTCCATTCCCTCCCCCTCCCCACAACAGGCACCCTGTGAGGTAGGCAGGGCTGAGAGAGCTCTTTCTAGAACTGCTCTGAGAGAACTTGTGACTGACCCAAGGTCACACCAGCAGCTGCATGTGGAGGAGTGGGGATTCAAACCCGGCTCTCCCACATTAAGTAAGGGAGCTCAGTGTATGTATGTATAGTGCAATAGAGTCCACCCTCCAAAGCAGCTGTTTTTGACCAGGGGAACTGTCCCCTGTCATAAATAGATCAGTTGTAATTCCAGAAAATCTCCAGGTCCTACCTGGAGGCTGGCAACCCGACTGCCTGCCTGTCCATACTCAAAGTCCATTCTGGCAGTGAGGCCAGGATGGCTGCTGGCCATGAGCCACGTACTCCATGAAGGTGGGGAGAGAGAGGGGGGAAGAAGAAGAGGAGGAGGAGGAGATTGGATTTATACCCTGCCCTTCACTACCCGAATGAGTCTCCCTCCCCCTCCCCACAACAGGCACCCTGTGAGGCAGGTGGGGCTCAGAGAGAACTTGTGACTGACCCAAGGTCACACCAGCTGTCTGCATGTGGAGGAGGAAGGGGGAATCAAACCCGGTTCTCCACGCACTTAACCACACTACACCAAACTGGTATGTCTGTGTGCGTGAGTGGGGGGGGGTGTTGACGGGGTTTGCTTTGCAGCATGCGGATTCGAATTCCCTCTCAGCCATGGGAGCTTGCTGGGTGACCTTGGGCCAGTCACACGCTTTCAGCCTAACCTCCCTCGCAGGTAGGGTTTCCAGGTCCGTTTTGGGAGTGGAGCCTGACCTCTGTGGCCTGGGGGTCAGTTGCAATCCCAGGAGACCTCCAGTCCCAGCTGGAGGTTCCAGAGAAGCACGGGAGGGAACGAGTAATACAAAAGATACAGAAGTTCAAACCGTGCATAAATAACAAAAATCGAAAGATATTTTTAAAAATACATGTATTCAACACTCAGTGAGTAATAATCTAAACCTATATAAAAAGAGTAGTTTTACAAAAGTCCAATATAGTAACCAGAAACTCAAAAACGCACGGTCCGAATACAAAAACAGTCCTATTAATCCACCTTCAGAAATAATCCGAGCCAAACTCCACAAATGGTGAAAAGTCCAGATAAAGATGTTTATAATCCGTCAATCCTAAAGGAAATCAACCCTGACTGTTCCCTGGAAGGCCAAATACTGAAGCTGAAGCTCAAATACTTTGGCCACCCAATGAGAAGGGAGCACTCACTGGAGAAGACCCTGATGCTGGGAAAGATTGAAGGTCAAAGAAGATAGGGACGGCAAAGGATGAGATGGATAGACAGTGTCGTCGATGCAATTGAGCCAACTTCAGAGGACGGCGGAAGACAGGAAGGCCTGGCGGGAGCTGGTCCATGGGGTCGACTGTGCGACTGAACAACAAAAATTCCTCTTCACAAAAAAAGCGCCTTGCCCATGCATTTTTGAGTTTCTGATTGCTATATTGTACTTTTGTAAAACTACTCTATTTATACAGGTCTAGATTATTATTGAAGCTGAATATATATATATATA